ATTGTAGGCAATAAATGATTTTATTCAAATTTTCTGCTACTATATTTTCAGCCTTAATATTCTCATTCACTTATAATGGCTCATCAATTTCTTCTAATAATTGGAAATAAGGATCAGGTAAAATATTCTCAATCAATATATTCACTGTCCTAACATTTTCATTTCGTGGATTTTTTTCTAAATTTAACCAGCTAGACTCTCTTTGCTGAAATCCTACTGTTGGATAGTTTTCTAAATTTTCTATGGGCGGACTAGGTGGCTGTCCCTCTTCTCTCTTATTCCCAAGAGCCTCTATAATTTGTTTCTGGTGCAGCATCATTTGATTCATAGTTTGTTGCATCATTTGGCTCATAGTTTATTGCATCATTTGGCTCATTTGCTGCATCATTTCCATAGTATCATGTTGGGTTTGAGAGGGCTGATTTTTCTGAAATCTGTTTTCTTGTTTTGGACGAAATTCAGAGTTCGAATTAGATCTAAGTGCTTCTGGATTTTGAATATTATTTGAGTTTCTCCACGAAAAATTATTCCCCCAATTAGTATTATAAGAATTAGAAAAATATTCCCTATTTTTACTAAAATCATGGGGTACCTGCACTTGTTCTTGCCTAGGATGATATTGAAATTCGAAATGATCATTTTCACCATACATAGGATATGTACTATTTGAATTAAATTGAGGGTTAAGAGGCTTTCTAATATTGTCAATAAGAAAATCAAGTTTTTCTAATCTTTGATTAATCTGATTAACTTCATTTCTAAGTTTAGAATCATCATCATGATGCAATTCATAAATTCCTCTCTTCTTATCACTGTCATATAATTCAAAAGAGGCTTGATCTCTCAAATTTTTACTTAAATTCTCATAAAGATTGTAAATCTCATCAGGAGTTTTCTCCATAAAAGCTCCCCCACATATAGAATCAACCATATTTTTATGTTGTTCTAATAATCCATCATAAAAAATTCTATTGAGCTGCCACTTGGGTATAGCATGATGAGGACACTTTCTAAGTAAATCTTTGAATGTTTCCCATGTCTCATGTAAAGTTTCTCCTGGTCTTTGAGAAAAATTCCATATATGTTTTCTCATATTTTGAGTTTTTCCTAAGGGATAAAATTTTCGAAGAAAGACCTATTCTATATCTTTCCAGCTAGTTAATTCTCTATCTAATGTGGATAGCCAAAGACTAACTTTGTCCCTAAGTGTATGAGGGAATAATTTCATCTTAATAATTTCCGGTGTAACTTGAGGGAGATTAACTAAATCACAGACCATATGAAATTTTTCTAAGTGCTGATGAGGTTCCTCTAAAGGCAATCCATGAAAATTAGGGAGCATTTGAAAATTTTCTGGATTTATTTCGAATTTAACAGTGGGTGCTAATGGGACTCTAATATTGGATGCTCTTTGAAATGAATCAGGGATATAATGATTTTTCATGGCCATAGGATTGTTCTCAATTTGACCTGTACTTCCTTCAGGATCCATCAAAATTAATTTTTCTTTCGGATTTTTATTTTTGAATGAAATAATGAAAGGATTTTCTAGCCTTTGATGCAAGGATCTTCTACCATGCATAAAAATCAATAAATTCGAGGGAAAAAGTTAGTAACTGTTACCCTCCTTCAGGATGCTCCAGTCCTTGCCGTGCTTCTTTTCGTTCCCTTTTTCTAATAAAAATCGGCAAAAAGAAAATAAAACAAGAGTTAAATTTTTTTTTTGTGTACTCTAAGAGAAAAACAGAAAAATATTAAATATTATGCAATACATTCCCGGCAACGGCACCAAAATTTGACGTGACTCAGTCGTTGTATATTAAATCATGCAAATATAAAATTTATAAAACTAGAAAATACGAATTTTCGGATATTTAGAAGTATTTCTAAATAAATATATCAATTATGATTCAATAAAACTTCCAAAAATAGCGGTAATTTTCCAGGTCGATCACAGGGATGTAATATAATATCTGGTAATTATTCAGAATTTTTCTCAATGAATACGATTTTCTATGAATTTTATACTAGGAAATAAAAAGGAAATATATTTAAAATTCACGAAAAAGGGAAATAAGGGCGCGGGCGTCAGGATGACATCAGCGCCTGGCGAACGCGAATCGGGCGGAAACAGAGTTCCGCCCGGCGATTCTTACGTAAGCGATTACAGACGATTTAATTAATCAAATTAAGATCTGTAAAAGCCGGAAGAATCGTAATAGAACAAAGTATATTTTGGTAAATTAAAATCACAAAGAAATATCACTAAATGAAGTGTAAAGTAAGTTTAAAGCAGGAAAACAGAGTTCCGGCGTCGCGACGGCGATGCGTCGGTGATGCACTGGAATCCTGAGCGTTCGGGAGGATCGTCGTGCAGTGTCCACGGCTTCGAAGGCTCCCCTTGGACAAAGACGACGTGGGCAATCTCTAGATCTTCTCGCGAAGTCTAGAGATCAATGAAGTGGGTCGTCGAGTCGTCTCCGGCGGCTGTCACCCGGCGGAGCGGAAAAATGGCGACTTTGCGGCTCTCCGGCGGCTGTCACCCGACGGAGAGGAGCTGGATGGAGGTGGGGCGTGTGTCAGGGAGCTTCATCCTCAGGTCCGCGCAGCAAGAGGAGGCTCTTCATCACATCTGGTACGCTCTCAGGAGGTGGCGACTCGTCTCCCGGCGGATCGTCCTCTTCCCGACGACGGCTTGTTCGTCGATCAATCGGAGATCATTTACTCGATGGATTTGCGATCCTTTTATCGCGAATCGTTCAACAATTTTAGTAGCAATGCTCCGCGAATCGCGTTGACGAGATTTTCGCCGATGATCCAGTGATTCTGGTTGCTTAATCCTTCACCGGCGATCTGCAGGAAAGTCACGATAATCAGATAAAAATATATGAATTTTGACTCTGGGAGGATTCGAACCCGCGCCGGTTGCCCGCCCCTTCTGAGGAAGGTGTGACGCGGGTTTAGTCCCACATCGGTTGTGCGCCGATTTTTCAGGCGAATATATAGTAATGTTAGTTTTTTAGGCAAAGTCCCTTCTCTCGCGTGTACGACCACTCCTTGCCCCACAGCCGGCTGGCCATCGGTGACGTGGAAGGGGAGTGGCGCACACGTGCCCCTATCGGTCCAAGCCGCTTGAGCCCCTGCTCGCGGCTACTCCCCGACTGAGCTTCCGACCCGCTTGTGGGCCCGGCTGGCCGGCGGGTCTCCCCCATTTTGCAATATTTTAATTTTATTTCTTTTTCTTCATTTATCTCAAAAGTAAGACTGTAAAAATCATATAAATTCGTATAAAATCACATAATTACTCAAAAAATCACATTAATCAACTGAAAACCACTTTTCACACTTTAACACAAATATAAGTTTATTTATCACGAGTTAAGGCTAAAACTATATTATTTACTTATTATTAACTCGTGATAATGAAGACTTATCAAGTAACAAGCAAGATGAAAGGCTGTTTGACATGACAAGGCCATTAAGACAATATAGGACTGGTTGTCTTGAGGTAATCCAGTTGCTGGTGTCATGATCACTAGTGCGATTTCACAACTATTCAAAACTAAGGTTCATTTATACACGGTAAAATATTCAAGGAAGATTATTTGAATCAATCCCAGGGAGGAAGAGTTCATGGCATAACAAATGTAGCCTGGGGTAAAACCATTATAAAATTTCTGTGCATTTTTTTGTTGTCTTAATTGTGTTAAATTGTGTGGATATCACAAGTGCTTTCACCATAGTGAACCAGAAGAGCCAATCAGGTTTGCAATTAGATTGACTATTATAAATATTTATAAATTAAGTTAAACTTGTTTAGCACAATTATCTTCACTCTAATTCAATTGCATGACTAAACATAGTCTACAAACAGAAAATAGTTTTTATAACCATGTAGATTACTATGAATTGAACTAGATATCTTTATTTATTAGAGATCATGATTAAGTCTATTCACCCTTCTTTATACTAATTTAGCCATCATCTAGTCTTTTGCATCTCATCTAGGGGATTATGAGAAAGCAATGCAATAAAATGTTTACCCATCTATTTAGTCTTCACTTTAGTTGAGAGCCTAAGAGACAGGAAGAACACCTACGCAATCTTACATACTCTATTATTGGTCTTTAGTTAAACATATCATCCACCAGTCAATTAATATTTTCAAATCACTGAAATTCAAATTAATTGAAGAAGCACAGCTAAATTGTGTTTATTATATAAGACTATGTCTTATATCTTGAGTTTGCTGTTATTAGAATTTGGTTGCTTTATCCATATGCAAAGTTGACTATGCTTAGCCTAAAAGATATTGTGCCAAAAGTCCATAGATAAAATATCAGCTTGAAGACTAGAAAAAAATAAAGAAAATAATTATTTTGTTAAAAACAATAGTGCAATAAATCTATAGGCTAAAAATCAAATCATTAAGACAAGAACCAAGTATGAAGAAGTCAAACATCATTTCTTTGGAGTTTAGTAAATTGAAGAGATTTCATCAGAAATTATGTTGAAAGTACTAAATAGCTAGTTGATATATTTACCAATGCCTTATCTGAAGATAGATTATCTCCTATATGAAGAGAGCTTGGAATGTGATACCAAAATAAGGTAAGTATATCGTAACTTTTCTATTGTCAATTATTTTTCTTTGTATGGCTGTTAGTTATTTTACTGAAATTTTGTGACTATTTTGGATAGTATTATATAATTTTAATATTTTCTCAATTGGATTCAGTTTGCCATACAATGAGTCAACACACTATAGAATGAGCAAACCCACTATCATTGAGTCTAAAAACAAAAAGCAGGGTCAACTTAGTACACCAACCTATGCAAATTGGTTGAACCACTTCACTACCTTCTGACATTATTCTCTTAAGACACTCAAAACCCACGCTTCCACCCCTTTGAAAAACCTAAAGCAAACCTATCTTTCAATTTTGCCTCCACAAACTACCTAAAAATATTGACCCAAATGTTTGAGATACTTGAATTACTTCATGCCACACCCCATGCTCGATTTCTTCCCCATTAGTTGAAACTTTTCCCTAGAGGTTGCTAGAAAATCCTAAGGTTCAGCCCTTGTATTCTCTTAATTGACTCTAATCCACATTCTAAAACCTTTATCATTATGCCCTACACATTACAATTGTTGAAATCTCTATCACCTCCATCTTTCCTTGAATCTATCAATGGGAACCATTCCCAACCTTTGCAACTCTGAGCACTCTTTCCTCCATCTTGATCAAAATTCCTTCAACATGGGGCTCCATCAAAAATCAGTACTCCACACATGCCTTTGCCATCCTCTATGACTGCCACCATCATTATCTATTTTTTTCACAAATTTATATTTGATTATGAAAATATTCACAAATATATAAACACTTATTTTACAATGATATCTTTGATCTTCCATAAATTTATGATCGAGCAATTTTTCTAAAGACTTTGTGAACATCAGAAAAAGAAGCACAAGCAAGAAGAGAAAAGGCAAGGTTGTTTCTTGTGGTGAAAGATAGACCCATGAAATCTATCATGTAATGGGATTTGTTAATATTATGATTTTTTTCTGGTGTAATAAGCCTTGGTAACTTGATAAAAACTAGGGAAGCCTGACCCATTTTAAAAGAGCATGTCCCTTACTAATTGTCGACTAGTGTGTCAACTTAGTCAGCATAGGTTAGTTGACCCAATGTATGTCATGTGTAGATCAAGGAAAATAGGTTAAAGCTCAAGAATTGTCGAAATTTTTAAGAACCAATTCATCCCTCCCTCACCTTTTATAGCACCCTATTTGGCATACCTTTTGACCAACGAATAGCCTATCTGAGGAAAAAAAATTAGGACTTAAAAATAGCTCCTCACATGGTGAATATATGTTAGGTGGATGTGCATCAGAGTTGTAAATAGGACACCTTGGATTACCATCATTGGCGGCCATTTTGTAGTTGCATTTGAGCTCTTATGTCATTATCCTAACCTTTAGCTATTGAGTGTTTGATGAAAACTTTGAATTTTTTTATTGATAGTATTTTGGATTTCAATTAAATTGACTCTCTAAAGAGCTTACATATCACAATTAATGCCAATAGTAAGGTTTCCTCCATCATGCTAATGGTATATCTTATTCAAAGAACGTTGGGGACTCGAAACATTACTTTGATGTACTTGAGAGGGAAATTTTAAAATATATGAAAGTTCGCCCTATGGCTTGAAAGGAGATGTGAAGAAATTTTTTATTTTTGATCAAAAGCATCCCATTTTACAATTGGTCTTAAAAGATGTACAAGAGGTTTTTTAGATATTCTAAGAATAAGATATAATAAGAAAGTCTACTTGTCCATAATATTTCCTTGATAAAAGGAAATATTTATTGTACATAAAGACAAACATTTTGGCTGACTCTACCTTAATCTTCAATGTTTTACATATTTGAGCTTTCTTGATTGCATATGTGGGCCACTGATGTTACCTAAAGTTGTGTCA